ACCTTATTGGCTCTACTTGTCTTGGAACCCTGCGCCTGCCATGGAGAATGAGCCCGGGCCAGGCTGCTGGAGGATGAGTGGCCACATGGAGCAGTGACCCCAGCCAAGGCCTTCCTGGGCCTGCCAGCCACAGCTGACCCCAGCTGAATGCAAGTCCAGCAGGATCAGCAGAGCTGGGCCAAGCTTAACTTACAAAAATGTCTGCCGTTGTAAACATCAGTGAGGTTTCAGTTACTTGTTATGCAGCATTCTTGTGGCCACACATAACTGACAGACTTCTATGAAAACACATGGGATACTTTTTATGATATGGTGATAAATACAGATTATACAGTTGTCCAAACCCACAGAATATACACCAAGAGTGAACCACAATGCAAACTATGGACTTGGGTGGATAATGACAGATCAATGTAGGTTCAAATGGACCACCGGTGGGGATGCTGAGAATGGGAGAGGTTGGACATGTGTGGGGGCAGGGTATATAGGAAATCTGTGTACTTTCCCCTCAGTTTTGCTGTGAACCTAAAATGGATCTTTAAAAAAATAAAAGCACACACATACACACAGGGGCCTTTCCACCCCGGCCATGGTCAGTGGAGGAGGAAGAGGCAGACATCTCTCAGCCTGCCCACCGAGTCCAGGTTTTCTGGGCTCCCTTCAGCTGACACACTTCTCTGCGCCAGCCCCTAGGCCCCCTTCTCCCTTCTCACCCCCTTTCCCTCTGATTGATGGCCCTCAACATATGTATTGGAGGCCTCCCTTTGCTCACTAGTGTACATGCAGGCTATATTTTTCATTATACTAGAGGCCTGAAAAGTGCAGGAGGGCCAGGTGTGAACACCAAACTACTTGGTTCTCATTGTAGGAAAAGGTGAGTCCAAAGTTTCTACATCTTCTGTGGCCTTCAAAACACCATCACCAACAACCAAATGTATCTGTCAAGACAAAGGTCCCGATCACCATGACAAATCAACAAAGCATGGAAACCCTTTAAGAGGAAAGGGAGACACCCCCATACTGGGTGTGGGATGAGCTAGTCCAGTGGTCGGCAAACTCATCAATCAACAGAGGCAAATATCAACAGTACGACGATTGAAATTTCTTTTGAGAGCCAACTTTTTTAAACTTAAACTTCTTCTAATGCCACTTCTTCAAAATAGACTCACCCAGTATTTTGTGGAAGAGCCATACTCAAGGGGCCAAAGAGCATGTGGCTCACAAGCCACAGTTTGCCGACCACGGAGCTAGTTGATAGAGCAAGTGGGTGGAGGGACCTCTGCAAAGTGCCACGGAGACCCTGGACCCTAAACACTGAGAATAATGACACCAAGAAAGGAGTGCAATGTTCTCAGCGTAGCGTAATTGCCTATTTTGGTTCAAGAGCGTGCTGACACTCCTTCTGAAGTGAAGACAGCGGGCACGCTTCCCTGGGTCACAATGCTGTCTCCAGGGCCGTCAACGGAAAGGTGCGCCTCCGGAGATAATAAGTAACCAGAGAAGAATTAAGAAGAAGAATCATGGCAGCTTTCACTGTCCCTACTTCCAAGGGAACAAAACAACCATCAGTCTAAAAGACAGCGAGAGCGCACTTGGACTGTTACGAGAGAATTATTGCACAAATATTTACATGTTGCACCTTAAATTATGCAATCCTTTTAGAGCGATAAATATTCCAGAAGCATAATTGTGTGCTGAGCCACAGCCAGTTTTCTCCCAGTCTCAGGAGCCAGGGAAGACCATATATTCTTAAGCAAAACACATGTGGTCCTCAGTTACTTAAGTCCAATGAGACATCTGTCAGAGAGGACGGAGCTCCCTTCTTAGCTGACCAGAGACCAGCAGCTCCACAAACACGGCTCAGAAAAGCCCTTAGGGACATTTTTCCCCCAAGAAGCTGGCTGTGGGCTGCACCTGTGAGCTGTATTAGTGCAATTAATGACCCCTCTACTCCGCCAAAGCTCTCGGGCTTTCTGTGAGGTTTTTACTGTCACTAGACCAGGCCCAAGGGCTCTTGCCTCAGGGCCTTTGCATTTGCCAGTCCCTTTCCCCCAGATATCTTCTCTATATCTTCACTTAAATGCCACCTACCATCTCAACCACCTTGGAACTCCGGATGGCTCTTACCCAGCTCCAGGTCCTTCTGGCTTAGAGTAAGAGGAAAGACCTCCTTAAGAAGGTGACCCTCCCATAAGAAGCTGAGTGAGGCCGAAACGGGTTTGGCTCAGTGGACAGAGCATCCGGCTGCGGACAGAAGGGTCCCAAGTTCAATTCCAGTCAAGGGAATGTACCTTGGTTGCGGGTACATCCCCAGTAGGGGGCATGCAGGGGGCAGCTGATCGATGTTTCTCTCTTATCCATGTTTCTAACTATCTATCTCTCTCTCTCCCTTCCTCTCTGTAAATATATATATATATATATATACAATATATTAAAAAAGAAAAAGAAAAAGAAAAGAACCTGAGTGAGCATCACGTGTGGCCCCAAGGTTGGACACACCCATGCCAAATTTTTTAAACTTAAACTTCTTCTAATGCCACTTCTTTAAAACAGACTCACCCAGGCCGTGGTATTTTGTGGATACTATGGGATACACTCCCATGCCTGAAGCCAGTTTGTTTCCAATGTCCTATTTCTTAGCCAGCTATTCTAGACCGGCCCCTCATCACCTGGCCCAGGTCAGCCTCTCCAGCTTGAGCTCCCACATTCCCAGCTCTGGGCCACACCACGACCAACCACACGGCACATGCCTGCCACTGCCTCCAAAAGCCTCCCCTCACGAGGCTTCCAGCACTGTTCTCAGCTGCCTGCATCCAAGACACTTGTCCCTCGTACCTTTTCCCATCCTGCCTCTGGACTGGGCACAGCTGACAGAGATGTGATTTTACTTAGCAACTGGTGGGACCTGTGCCTTTGCTTTATCTCAGGGGGCAGGGAGGTTTGTCTCTAAGCATGGAGGCGCTCTCCGAGTGCTTCTCTCCTTTTCTAAAAGGTTAAGACCCTCAAAGGCAGAGCCTGGCTCATCTCCAAGTCTCCTAGGATACCTAACACGTGTGTGCCTTGCACACAGTCAGCCTGCAGTGAACCCCTGCGCAGTGACTCAACTCCACGCGCTATAGGGTCGTGCATTTGCACATGGGACATTTTATTCTCTTGGTTTTTCAGAAAGATGGAGATCGGAAGCTCTCTCCTGCCCTCCTCAGAGCACAGAACACAGGACTTGCTCCTTCTGACCAGGAGACACCCCTCCCAGAGCCATGTGGTTGGCTGACAGTGTGTCATTTCTCCACCTGGATTTGGTGGGGAGCAGAGAGGAGGAGTTACAAAGCAGAGAAGCACAGGGCTCTTGACCAAGGGAAAAGCCAGGAGAACAAGCTGTGTCTGGCGGAAGACAACACGAGGTGGAGGGTGCACTTGTCAGAGCAAGGAGAAGGCAGGGCAGTGACGGTGAACAGGGGCCACACGGAGTGCCCTGTGTTCGGGCATCTCACGCTCCCAGCGCAGGGACCTGTTTACAAGGAGAAAACAGAGGCAGAGCCTCCGGAGGCTGAGCCAGCCTCTCTGTCCCACTGCCCGCTCCTCACTCTGTGCGGAGGGAGGGGCTCTCAAAAGTTGCCCAGAAACTGGGTCTGAGGCTCTGAGGCAGCCGTTTTCAAACTTTTATTTATTTACCCCCAAAACGAACATAATAAATAGGTGCCCAGTGGAGCCTCAGGGTGGGGGCTAGGCCAGCCCCCTGGAGACCCAGGGCTGCCCAGCACGTGGGAGAGACCCGCTTTGTTCTTCCCAATCCCGATCCCGGTGGGCTTCAGGGAAGAAGTCTTTGATAGGAACATCTGCATGTGAAAACTCACCTTGAAAAAGTGAAAGTAGAGCTGGAGAAAGAGAAGCTCAAAATGCCAGTCACTGCCAGAGAGGACAGAGGGAGGGGGAGGGCGAGGGTGTGGCACTGCCCAGGGTCCTGGCAGGACCAAGGCGATGCTGCCCGCCTTGGCCGCTGCAGCCCTAGGAAACCGGGGCCAGCGCTGTCTGACGCCCTTCCCCGAGCGCGTGTGGGACACTCCAGCTCCCCCTGCCAAAGCCCCGCCCAGACCACAGATGGAGACAAACCTCCCTCCCCTGGACCACACTCCCGCTCCTGAGCGAAACCAAAGGCCCAGGGGAAAGCACCATCTTCTCTCGGCCGCGGCTCGGGAGCCACAACACCCGCAGCCTGACCTGCGCTGGGCTGGCCCAGCCGGTGGGACCGCGGCGTGGCCACACGGCACAGACTCGCGGGCACGTGGCCACGGGGGCCCCCCTGTGCGGTTTTTGTTTGTTTTTTTCCCCTCCAAGTGCTTGGTGGGTGGTGTTTGGCGAGCCAGCCCTCAAGTCTGTGCAAGCCAACTTTTTCTTTCCTTTTCTGAACGTTTCTCGCCGGCGCCGAGTCTGAACTCTCCTAACGGATACCTACCCAGTGCCTCTCCCCGCCCGCCCTTCCCCTGGGCGCCAGCCCTGTCCCAGGCGGGGAGGGCGGGGGGAGGACAAGGTCGGAGGTGGCCCTGGTTGGTGGCAGGGACACCAATTCGAAGATGGCCCCGTGGGCGCTGGGAGGAAGGGGCTGTCCCTCCAGGAGAGGAAAGGGACGGTCCGAGGGGACCCGCGGGAGAGAGGCCAAGGAGAGGCTTCCCACCCGCATCCGGCGCGAGCCCGGGGGGGAGGGGGGGGAGAGGGGGGCATCAGGGCCCAGGGAACCCCGGGGCGGGGAAGAGGGGCGCGCCCAGTCCGGTGAGGACGCGGGAGAGGTGCGCGCAGCTGTGACCGCGGACAAGTCCGCTCCCCCCGCCCCCCGGGCTCCGCGCGCCTCTCGCCCGGGAGCGAGGAGAGGGCGCTCTGCACCGCGGCCAGGTCTCCGCGGGGGGACCCGGGCGGAGTGGGGATTCGCGCGGTGCGGGGATGGGGCGGGGGGGGGGGGGGGGGGAGTCGATGGAGGAGCCGGACCCTGCGGACACGCCGCTTACCCGGCCGTTGGGGTCGGTCTCCTGCGCCTCCTCCGCGCGCGGCCCGCGCCGCACCAGCGCCCGCAGCAGCCCCACGTCGTTGGCGCGAGCGGCGCGCAGGAGGGTGGCCGCCTCCGGGCCGCCCTCGGGGACTGCCTCCGGGCCGGCGCCGCGCTCCTCCTCCGGGCCCGGGGCCGGGTAGAAGGAGTCATCCGAGGCGAGGCTGCGGGTGTCGGGCAGGCGCGAGAAGTCCTCGTACTCCTCCTCCTCCTCCTCGGCGGCGGCGGCGGGGTCCTCGCGGGCTTTGGGGCCCCGCGGCGGGCTCGGCGGCTGCGGGGCCACGCGGAGCGCGCCGCCGCCCTCCGGCCCGGGCCCGGCCAGCAGCACCATGCCGGCGGCGGGGCGGGGCGCGCTCCGAGGTCCCCGGCGGCTCCGGGAAGCGGGGCGCCGGCTGCGCGTCCCGGGCCGGCGGCGGGCGGACTGTCACCGAGCGGGGAGCCCGGGGCGGGGCGGGGCGGGGCGGGGGCTTTCCCGGCGCCGGGGGGCGGGGCGGGCCCGGGCGCCGGGGAGGCGTCCTCTCTCCCTGCCCCGCGGCTGGTTTCCGACAAAAGTTACGGTAGGAACCGAGGCTTCCCGGCAGCGCGGGGACCGAGCCGCCGCCGCTCGTCCCGGGACGGAGAGGCAGAGCAATCGCTGCGGAGCCGGGGCGCCGGGGTGGGGGCCGGGGTGCGGGCGGGGGCCTCCGGGAGGGGAGAGGGCGGGCGGGACCCGGTGGCCGCGCTGAGCCCGCGTGCGCGTGGGGAACATCCACCGCCGGAGCCGGCGCCGCCCCGGGCGTCCGCCGCCCGCATTGGGCGGGGGGGTCACTCGGCGTCGGAAGCCGCGAGCCCGTGTGTCCACCCCAGGAGTCTAGACTCCGGGCCATCTCCATCCCTGGCTTCGGGCTGGGGAACCCCGGGAGCCCCGCGGACAAGCCGTTGCGAGGGAAGGAAAGTTCCCCGTGGGCACCGCGGCCGGGGCTCAGCCGCGGATCGTGCCCCTCTGGTCTGCGAACTCCGGCTGCCACGGCCACGCCCAGCTCGGAGGAGAAAGTGCACGGAGCCCCCAAGGCACGCAGGACCCGGACCAGCTGTGGCTGGCACGGTGCTCCTGAGACTTGTCCACTGGCCTGGGGGTGGGGTGGGGGGTGCGTGGGAAGAGCCTGCCGCCCGCCTGAGCTGTGAAGGTGCCCTCCCCACCCCTGCCCGGTGTCACCGCGCGCGCTTGGCACTGGAAGTCGAGAAGGGTTGACTGGGCGAGGCTGCAACGGGGAGCTGGCTCCACGGTGCCCCTGGCCGGAGCGTGGCTTCTCCCTGTCTGCCCCGGAGCTGGGGTGGGGATGTGCCGCGGGGACCTCCTGACCTGCGGGCCAAATCTTCGTGGTGGAAAGACTGTGCGTGGATTGATAAACAAAAAGATAGATACAGAGACAATAAAGCAACAAGCAGACTGTCAAATTACAGCGGGGAGAGGAGGGAGATCTGGGGGAGATAAGAGATCAACCGAAGGACCTGTATGCATGCATATAAGCTTAAACAATGGACGCAAAACTCTGGGGAGGGAGGGCATGAATGGGGGGGGGGGGGAAACAATGGTAAGATATGTACACATATAATACCTAATAAAAATAAAAATAAAAAAAGATTGTGCGTGGAGGCGCAGTGGTGAGGGCACACCTGAGCCTGGACTGGGGATGCTGGATCTCTGATGGTAGGAAACATCGCGGCTCTGTCCAGGGGCCAAGAGGAACCGCAGGGAAAACACCACCCCTTTTTCTGTCCCCTCTCCCCCTTTCCTTCCTAATCTCCCGCCGCTCTTGGTAGCAGGCCCACCCGCTGCCAACCCTTGCACCCAAAGGGACACAGAATCGGGCCTCTTGGGACAAACTGGGAGGAGTGTAGGCCTTGGTGCGCAAGCTGAGGGCACAGTGGGAAACCCAACCAAAAATATGCCCCTGAGCTGGGGTAGAGGATGCTAGGGGTGCCCTGTGAGGCCTCTTCGGCCTCGGGCTCTACTTGGTGCTGGGCCGGCCCAGCGTGATGGTCACTGGGACCCCCAGTGTCCCCGGGGCCGGCCCAGAGCCTGGCATCCGCAGGGCTCAGCAGGACAGCGATTTCTCGTGAAAACACGTCCATGCCTGAGCGCACCCTGAGCTGGAGGTGAACTTGGACTTTCTTTCCGAAGCCAAAAATAGCCCAAATCATGGTTTGCTTTTTATACTTTTTTCTGTGGCGGACCACATTTGCATAAATTCCCACTGGGGATTCCCCCCTTTCAAGGTTGACTGCGATTTTAGCATTTCCAGAGGCCTGTTCATGAAGTCAAGGGATTTACCAGGTGAAGTGTCCCCCTCCCAGGGCACCATTGGGTTTGCTACGCCCTCCCCTCCTGGTCAGCCACTCTCGGTGTGGTAATGAGTGGGAATCTCAGTGGCAGTGACAGGGTGGGCCTCTTCGGCCTTGGGGTGGAGCACTGCCCAGCTCCATGGTCTTCGTGGCCCAGTCATTAAGCAAAGGGACTCGGGCTCTATCTTCAGAGTGCACCACTTCCTCCTTTTTCTTCTTAGAAACTCCAGGCCAAACGTGGTTTTCCCGTTAGAGATAAACTTCTGAACCAGTCCTCTCCAAATAATAGCTAGTGGCTTGGGAGTGATCTGACTGCCACCCCAAGCTGACCATTGTTCTCCTTTAGAAATTCACTTAGTGGCCACCCACCACCTCCCCACCACCCCGCCCAGCACCCTGTGGCACCAGAGGCTCAAGAGGCCTCGAAGGCCACACCCCTGGCCACGTTCTCCACCATCCCAGGTATTTGTACCACAAAGACAATAGATTTTCAACCTTGCTAAAGGAACACAAAAGCAGGCATATGAGGTCAAGTCCACATTTACTCATGATGTGTACAAAATCTACATAGGAGGAAAAAGTAATTTGCCAAAATTGCCAAAACACTCAGGATAACTTTTTTTTTAATGGATTTTTATTTATTTCAGAGAGGGAGAAAAGGGTAGAAACATCAATGATGAGAGAGAATTATTGATGGGCTGCCTCCTGCAGGCCACACTCCCCCCTCCTCCCCAACTATGATTCAAGCCTATAACTGCAGCATATGCCCTGACCCGGAATCAAACCATGACCTCCTGGTCCACATCACTCAAGATCAACACTCAAGCCCTGAGCCACACTGGCTGAGCTCAGGATAACTTTTAAATCAATAACATTTTGAAAGACTGTATTTTATCCAAGAATATTTCGTTTCGATGAATAATTTTAATTTTAATGATTGTTAGAAGTCTCATACATCTCACACAATTTACTTGAATTCGTTGAAAAATTTGTCTGTGAGCCATTTAAAAAATTCACTACTTCAGTTACATTTCTGGAGCAAGCCTCTTAACTGCACTTACTACCTGTAACAGGAGGGTCTTTCCGAATTATAAGCAGGGGGTTTAAGAACTGAAAAGTGAACACCCCTGCCGTGGTGACCTCCTCCCCCCACAAACTTTGTTTGGAAAGCAAAGTGGAGCAAACCAAAGCCCACCCCACTATAAATACCAGGGTCCCCCCTCCTGGGCTAGAGTGAGAATTGGATGGGAGGGTGATTTTAAACCTTCGCACACTGTTCGGAATTGAGCACAACATCAGGGTTAACGTTTGTTATTATTAAAATGAAAGTATCCACTCACCTTGATGATATAAACTGTTTGGCAGAAGCTGCTTCACCAGATTGTTTTGCTATTTGCAGAGGAAACCAGCCCTTATGAGGTGACTGAGAAATGCCTTTCATTTTCTCCGTGTGGAAGGCAGTGAGTCTGGTATCAGAACTGCTTTCCAAGTATGGCTCTACCACTGCTGAGCCACTACCATAGCAGTAAGTCTATTGCTGTGGGTACACCAGTGTTTATCTAACCAATCACCTACTCTTGGTATTTAGGCTATTTCCAGCATTTTCTTACTGTACATACTGGCCGGTATTTCCTTAGAAGAAATACCCATGTCAAGTGGCCTGAACTTTTTAAACTCCAATATTTTCTTCATTGCTGAGTTCAAGTGGTAACCCAAAGTCTTGGGGAAAGAAACTCTAGAAATGTATAAGAACTTTTGATGAAAAGAGACCCGAATCAATTGAGAGAGCCCTACCATCAATGTTTTATTTTCTCGCTCCCACTTTCCCTCAGAAATCCTCTTCAAGGATGGAGTTTGGGGAAGCTCCTGGTTCTGCTGCAGCTCTCCTGATCTCTACAGAAGGAATCAGAAGTGAGGAGTCACCCCATTTTTAAACAGTTTTAAGTAGGCCAAAATCATTTGACTTGGAGTCGTGGCAAATTTTCCTGAGTTGATTGCAAAAGGTGGAAGCAGCCTAGAGCATCCTGAAGTCAGTCTACAGCACTGCTGGTCAGTTTACCTGTCTGATCTCCTTAGAAATACAAAGATAAGTGTCTGTGTGTATTTTTGGATCTCCCCACTAAAGAGATTAGCTGCTGTTAGGCCCTAACTCAATTCAGTTGACAGCAATTAGATCCCTACTACTGTAATCTGAATTGCTGTGACCTTTAAGAACTTCATTTTCTTTTAAGGAGGATTTCTGCCTTCGTGGTTAAGTATTTTGGGGGGTGTACATGCATCTGTGCACCTAACTGCCAATTCTGCCTTTTTCTTGCTTTTGACAGAATTCGCAATAATGGGGTATAACTAGAAAACCCATGTTTACTCCCAGGACAAAACGCCTTGGGTCCTCATCGGAATAAAGATGGCTTTTTGAGGCCCATCTAGGGGATCATATGTGATGTACCCAGGTACAAGGCACCCTTTTCCCTGCCCATTTGTCCATGCCCTGATTATGCCTCTTATTACCCTGTTTTCCAATTTTTAAAAAATTTTTATTTATTTATTTATTTATTTATTTATTTGCAAAACTATCTTTTTATAACCTGAAAACTCAAATACAAAAACCAGGTCTTACTAGGTTTTTGAATCCCCAGCACCTAGGAGGACAGCTTACCATCTTGGTTGATGCTCCACACATAAAGAAGGAGGAGGCACGGCCTGCTGGACCAGGCCCCGCTGTCTCTCAGAACTTCTGGGTTTATACAAGATCAAGCACAGGTAAACCTGAGCCCTCCTCCCTGGGGACTCTGGATGCCCCACCCCGACCCCTCCGCTCAGGGTCCTCACGTCACTGTCTGGCACTTGCCTCACTGAGATCTCCACCTTAAAGCAGACTCTGCTGCCCCAAACCCTCCTCCATACACACACACACACACACACACACACACACACACACACACACGCGCGCGCGCGCACGCGCACACACACACACCACCACCACCACCACCACCACCACTTTGACTTCACAGGTGAACCTTCTGCAAGCAAGACCTCCCTTAATAACTCGACTTTCCATTCTTC